TGTTGACAAACATAATTGTCGCCTTGGTTACGTTCACAGACAACACTGTTTTGAGTCTTTTATAAACTGGGAGGAGGTCGGGCTGGATGGCAGAGATAGGTTTGGACAACAAAAGCACTTTGTTTAAAGGAGCTATTTGTAAGTTTTGCTAATGCTACGTGGCTAATGTTAGCATTAGCAGCTGTTTACTTACCAGTCTAGAAGAAGCGTTATAAGTTCAGCATCAAACTTTATTCCTTTACTCACCAACAGCTGTCTCCAGAGGTGGAAACAAATGGCAATGTTAACTCTCTTATCATGTCTTTTCTCCTACTGAAGTTAGCATGCTACCCAGTTAGCCCACCTCGTCACTCTCTGCCAGAGACTCACTGTAGCCTCGTAGTCTGTCCTGAAGACAGCGACGCTCAGAGAGGACGTATTATCACCTCTTGTATTATAAAGATTAAGATGGCCAAAGCTACGTTCAGCAGCAGAGAAAACTTACAAATAGCCCCTTTAAGGTCAAGGAAAGATCCTGGTTTCAGTTACATAATAATAAAAAACACTGATGTCTTTTTCTGTTTTAAACCAGACCACGACCTTCAAAGTCCACTATTCTGTTAGCCCTGTGTTTGGTCTCCAGCAGCTCCTGAGGGAAAGATCTGGCTCTTGAGCTGCTAAATACTCCACTATGTTCACCAGCTGCTCTCTGACTGAGTTGTGGGCTGTGAAACCAAAACTGATAGACAGATGCTAAAACGTTATGAGTTTGTCACTAGATGTGTTTCCATCCACCAGTTTTTTTTTTTTCCTTTTTTAGTTTGTGCAAAGAATCTGAGTGGGAAGCTTGGAATTACAAAAAAGAATCACACTTTTTATAATGCTTGTCTGAAGTGGAAAAGTTGGTGTGTCGATAAAAGAAAAATGTGACAAAGTTCAATAGTGAATAAGTGACGTACATGAATCATATGACTAAAACTTTGACTGGAGTTATGCTAATGAGGACTTCTTCTTCTGTGGTTTAATGGCAGCCACTGGAGAATCAGCTCCACCTGCTGTTTACCTCCATCAACCAGTCAACTCATATTCACACAGCAGCAAAGAAGGGACATTAACATTAGTTTGCATTTTCTTTTGCAGATTTTCTCAAAACTCTGTTAAAGTTTGTGCGACATTTGGATGGAAACTTAAAACATTTGCTCTATTGTGAATATAGAATATTGATTAGAGCTGCTTTAAGCCTTATTTCAGCTCTTCCTGCCTCTTTGGTTTTTGTCAGGGATCAGTGTGATGTTGTGTTGACAGGTAAAAAACTCACAAAACTATAACTGACGACAGTAAAATGAAAAACTAAGACGGTGCGAATATGAGACTCGATGAAGTGACAGCGGAGACTCTCGACCTTTCAACAGGAGGACGAGGAGACAGTTTCTTAAAAGATAATGACGCCTCAATAGAAGCAAAGTGGAAGTGAAGACGTCTCAGTAATGGAAACCCGTATCACCGTAACGACGTGTGTGTTAGCGCGATAACTCGGCTTCTCTCCGACTGACTCCGGCTGATGGAATGAGATGTTTTTTACAGCCTCCCAGCTCAGACGCCTCCTTCACTTTCACCTCTCTCTCTCTCTCTCCATTGTCAGGTTGTGTGTCCCTCTCCCTCTCTCTCTGTGCACACGCACACACACCGCCACCGCCACTCTGAGACCACCTCTGGCTGACATCCGTGTGACCCCCCCCGTTCCCCCCCACCACCACCACATCCCTGAACCACCCTCCACCCCAACCCCCACCTGTGCAACCATGGCGCTGTCTTCACGGTTAAAACTGTGGGAGCAGAAGGGAGGTGCAGAGTTGCTGCATGCTGCGTTCATGAAACATATAAAATCTTGACCGCGTGTGTGTGTGTGTGTGTGATTGATCACATGGTGAATGAACCCTGTGCTCTAACCCTGAGTCATCACAACACACAACATGTCACTGCCTGCTGTGATTGGTGTGTTAGTCACCCTGCAGCGTCACACGGTCACTGAGATTTGTGGTGTAAAGCTGCTATAAGCCGATACTTATATTGATATCAATACTTTCATATGATCAGTAAGTCTTCCCTTCAGAATCTGATTCTAAACAACCATGAGAGATAATACCGCGCCAGGGAAAAAAGTACTACTACAACAATGTAAAAAATACTGCACTCAAAATCCTACTGAAGTAAAAGTATTGTGAGCAAAATGAACTTAAAGCACAAAAGTAAAAGTGAACTTTCTCCTGTGACTGATCTCTGATCAGATCATTGATCCTGAGTCGTCGATGCTTCAGCAGCATTTTCTGTTGTAGCTGCTCCAGGTGGAGCTGCTTTACTTTTACATACAATTAGTTTAGTCCACCGGTTTCCAACCTAGGGGTCGGGACCTTCTGAAGGGTCACCAGATAAATCTGAGGGGTCGTCAGATGATTCATGGGAGAGGAAAGAAGAAGAAACAAAGTTCTGGGCTTTTCTCTCCTCTGTGTTTTAGTGAAATACTGGATCATTTTATCACTTTGCATAAATTCATGTGAGAAGCTTAAAGGGAAAAAGTCTCTTTAGTAGAACTGAAAACAACTGAGAGGCATCTGAAAAATGACAGGAGCCTCAACCAGATTCTCCTTTTTAGGGATCATTCTGGTAATCAACCAGCAACCACTGGTTAAATTGTGGTTTATAATCTTATCATATGTGTTTTAATATCTCACGTAACTAGTAACTACACCTGCCAAATAAATGTAATGGAGTGATAAATACTATATTTCCATCTTAAATGTAGTGCAGTAGAAGTATAAAGTAAAACAAAATGGAAATACTTATGTAAACTACCTCAAAATATTCATTTATTTAATTTAAAATATTTATTTAAATCTGTCGTCAGATGATTCAGGAGGAAAGAAGAAGAAATAAAGTTTAGATTTACAAATGTATAGTAATTTTTTTCAACTATTGTTGGACAAGTTGACCTTTTGGGACATGAGGCGGAGACACAACTAAACACAGTTTTTCAACAACTCACAAGCTGAAAAGGTTGGAAACAACTAATTTAAACTTGGACGATGTCAAATGTTTTATTAATGTAGAATGTAAAATCTAAGTTACTGCTAACATAATTAGAGCTACAACAGTCGATTTGTTGATTGACAGAAAATTAATCGACAACTATTTTGATAGATTGATCAGTTGTTCATTATACAAGCAAAACTACAAAAAGAAATTGCTGCTTTTCTTCATCGTGTGTCAGTAAATGTGTCAGCGAACAGTTGCCTATTAAAGATCCGCACTTTTACTGAGGCAAAGAAGGAAATTGTTTTTTTTAAGTTAAAGCACGACTTTGTAGCTTATGTGACAATTATATGATAATGATAAATGTTAAAATGCAGCGTAACAGGAAAAGAGACTGTGTTATTTTGTCTTTGAACAGTTACTGTACTGAATCTGAACACTAACACTTCTCCCACCGCTGTTTTTTGGACCAATTTACAACATTAAAACTTTCCACTAAAATCTGTTCTGTTGAACTTCAGACCAGCTAAGGTTCACGGCGTGGTGTACTTTACCGCAGGTTTTTACCATCGCTGTCACATTTCCTCTGGTTACTCATCCAGTGCGCAGCCTGATAAAAGCCTTTTCAAGCACACTTGTGTGGATCCTGGTCTAAATTTGGCATCAGGACTAGACTTTTATGAACTGTGTGAGGAGGAAAATGATATTTGGTGATGAATTAACACTGGTGGCTGATGCTGAAACAAACTCAACACGATCCATTAATTGAGTTCAGTTCGCTCTCATCAACGTTAAGACGCCGTCACTCTCACACAACCAAAAGAGTTATAATTAGGCATTACTCAGCTATTTCCTCTCAAAGTTTTCTCATGATTACATTTTGTAGCTTTTCAAAGAATGTGAAACAGCTGTCCTACTGACCTTTATGATATTCCCTATTGTGTCAGCAGGTGATACCTATTAGCTAAATGTCAAGCCTCTGGCCACCTCTCCGCTCGGCACATCCAGTCCCCTCATGATGCTCGTCACAGCCGCTGACTCACATTTCCTCATGAAGCTGGAAACACAAACACACACACACACACACACACACACACACACACACTGGAAAACTAAAAATGATCCTTAAATACGGTTGAAGACGACGAGCTTTGACACTGTCCTCTAGAAGATAACAATAACTGATGGTATCCGTGTTTCTGGCAGAGCAGTGCAGACACTCAGTGATGTTAAAAGTCAGTTATCGTGGCCAGATCACAGTTTGTAATAAGCCTTTTTCCTGATTGCTCTCAGCTTGACAAGCAAATGCAGTGAATGTGCAGAATCCACTCAAAAGAGTTTGTCATGAGCCTGAGCCACGTGCTGATGCTTCCCTGTTGTTTTAAAGGCATAGTTCGGATTATTTGATGTGGGGTTGTGTGCAGTGCTCATGAATAGTCGGTACATTACCCACAGTAGATTCTGTTCAGCGCGCTCCCAGTTAGGAAAGTCGGCAGCACCCCATGTCAAAAAACCCGAACTATCCCTTTAAGGAGTCTTAGCTCTTGGCTTATTTGAGTCTCCAAGAGGTTGCTATGGTCTGTGGGATTTATCTGGTTAAATAACAGCTCAATAAATCAATATTAAATAGCATGGAGTCTAATGCTGTGTCTCAAATTCTCTTCTTAAGTCAGTACACTTATATAGTACACTGTGTATAAAGTGTACTCACTGACGTAGTGCGTGAATTTCAACAGGGTTATCGTGGTAGCGTGTAGGTCCCAAATCAAAAACTGACGTTGTAAACTCACCGGAAGTGACGATCTCAACCGCGATTGTCGCCCACCTGCCGGTTATTTTGCTAACTTCACTTCAAAGTCTTAGCTTCTTGTGTGTGCCTTCGGTGTCGTGCGACATATAAATTTCGCCACCGTTTGCGCTCACGATGTGTCGTCCTTCTTTCTCAAGTTTGAAAATACTTTGGCGCTCCCTCCTTCTGCTCCGTAGCCAAGATGGCGACCGTTGAAGGTGAGGAGTGTCCGTCGTTTTACGCCCGATTGTTTTGACCGTTCTGAGTGCATCCGGGTACTTACAGTTAACTGCATGTTGCCATATCAGCATTTACGCTCTCAAAATAATAAGTGTGAGTATGTTAGTACGGAAATTGAGACACAGCATTAGTCTTGTTAATGGAATTTGTGAGTATCACAAATAAATTAGATGAAGTCAGAGACAAATATCTCAAAACCTGGACAGATAAAATAAGACCTCATTTATAATCTGTTTATATTAATCTGAATTCAACCCAAGTAGCCTGATCGTAAACTGCAATGTGGGTCTGTCCATTTTCACTGCCTCACTTCAGTGATCATTATAAAGGCAATAATTAAGTGTTTTGTTTGAATTAAAGGGATAAGAGCTCAAATATGCTACAGAGGTAAATGCTAAAATATTTGTTTTGTAATTCTGGTTAAGTTTTAATGTGATGTGAGTGTTTGTGGAGGCTAATGATGAAAACTTGTGTGCGCATGTTTTTTTTTTTACATCCAAACTGAATCTCCAAGTTTTTTAATGAAGTTTGGATCTCAGCATGCAGCATGGACCAAATGTACTGTACTCTATATTCACATCCTGTTTCTGTCCAACTCTCCCTGCATTCATTAATCCATCAAACCACAGATAAAGGAGGAGAACAACAAGGAGGTGATGGCGGCCGTACCTCCACCGCCTCTGTCGGCGCTGCCAGGCGGCTTCCTCAAACAGCTGGTCAGAGATTCAGAGAAGGAGACCAAACACAAAGAGCCGGACGTCAAGGAGGAGAAAGCAGTGAGTGGTTTGTTAAAGTTCACATCCCCTCTCCAAGTTTCTTAAAGAGTATGACATTTTGGGAAATATGCTAATTTGCTTTTCTTGCCTAGAGACAATTAGCTTAGCGTCACATAAAGAATGCAAACAGCAGGAAACGCCTAGCTTAGCTCTGTCCGAAGAAATGTTCACTAATTTCCACATTTTATCTTGTACTGTTCACATAGTCAGGTGAAAAAGAAACATTATTGAAACACAAAAGTATTATTTCTTGTTGAGCATTAGCTGTGAAAGAAGTTACATTACCTAAGTTAGCCTGTTGGAGAAGCTAACATTCTATTAGCCCTATAAAACCATGTGAAAGACAAAACATAAACCTGTGTTGTGTGTGTCAGTGTCTAAACTCATACTAGCGTCTAAATGTATACATCAAATATAGGAATTAAAAAACATATGTTGAGTATCTTTTAACTCCTTCCTGCTCATACATCAAGCTAATCTTTAACAGCATATTAGCTAACTGATACTTAGCACAAATTTCTCTTTATTTCCTACACCTTGTTAATGTTAAAATGCTAACATCATTAAAGTATGAAGTTAATGTTCTATTTTACCAGTCGCACCCAATAATTTCACTCTTGATGTGGCTCTCTTGGTTTTTTATTGCACTTAAAGCATATTTTTTTATACAGAGATACTGTTACGCTCTCAGTTCGAGACAATTAACCGTAAAAGTAGAAGGTTATTTTCTTTTACTGTGGCACAGAAGGAAGAGATACACCTCGCCTACGGTTGTCCAACTCTCTTACCATTGGCTCCCAGGCCTGAAGGCCCCTGCAGGTGGCCCCTTCCCCTGTTCGTTGGCTGTGTGCAGTGACTCCCTAAAATTTACAGGAACCTCTCTGTTAAACTGCAACTTTTAGTTTTTACACTCCAGTTTTTGTACGAACTAAACAATCGAGATATAACATGTAATTGATGTTGGAAGGTGGAATTCGTTGCTTTTGCACAGAGCTAGCTGTTTCCCTCTGTTTCCAGTCTTTATGCTAAGCTAAGCTAACCAGCTGTTGGTTGTAACTTCATATTCACACTACAGACATCAGAGTGGGATTTTCTCATCAAACTATTTCTTTAAAGGATGATACTAAGTCTTGATTCTTGCCCCCGCAGCCAAGCAAACTGAGTGATAACCTTGTACAACAGTTCCTCGTCCCGGATCAGACTCCTCCGATCCTGGAGGCCGAGATGTCCCTCCGGGCCGAGCAGCTAATCAGCAACAGCAGGCAAGGACGCAACTCAGCCCAGTCTGACGGCAGGTCCTCGTCTCAGATGCACATAGTTTCTCCTGAGCCTGGCGGTAAAATGGAAACCAGACAGGGTGTGACACCAGAGCCGCCAAAGCAGCAACAGGACATGACGTCGGAGAAGAAGAGCAAGAAGACGCCACAGGCCGAGCAGAAGGAGGAGAGAATAGAGGAGGTGAAGCAGGTGGAGAAGAAGAAGAAGAAGGAGGAGAAGAAGAAAAAGGAGGAGGAGGGGATGGAGGAGAGGCAGGAGCCAGAGGGAAGGCAAGCAGACACAGCTATAACAGAGCATAACAGGAGAGAGGTATGTATGTTACTGTCATCATTTGTGCAACTCTCAAATAATTATAGATGATTTAGCTGTTTAATTATAATCAATGAATAAATGAAAATAAATTTAGAAAATTGTAAACAAATGAATTAAATTGTTGGGGACTATTTTCAGCGGTGGATGAATCCATATATGGTGGTGTGGTGCTGTAGCAGGACGGTGTGTGTGGGACTGAGTCAAAATAAACTACAGTGTGTATTCATGATAATGAAGGAACGTCACCCTGTATAACAGTGTGACTCACTGATGTGTTTTAATAGTTGGAACAGATGGAAACAATGGAGCTCTAGAGGAGTCAGATATATCAGACTGTTATACACACAGTAACCTGTTAGTAGGACATGTTCATTTTTTATTTATTTTAGGATTGCTTCAAGTTAAAGACAAGTAATCAGTGTGCTGCGTCAAAGATAAATCTGTCCAATTAAATGCAACCAACAGAGGAGCAGGGGGAGCTCTGGTTGGTCAGGTGTTAAAAAATATTTTTGCAATGCATTATTTTAATTTAATCATAATTAATTAATCAATTTATTATTTATCCAATTTATTTAAAGTTTGATATTGAAAATATAATTACTGCAGTGTCTCACTCCAGACTCTGTCGTGTATAAACCAGTACTTTATTACAGCTGAGTCATCTTCACTCCTCTGTTGTGTCCTTGTCTCTCTCTCAGGTGAGGGACGTGTGGTATGAAGCTGGAACTGTGTGGTGTGTCCAGAAGGACGGTTTCACCCTCGGTGAGATATGAAAACAACAGTATCCTACACACACACACACACACACACACACACACACACACGCCATTGTAAAGCAAGTAAATGTCAGTCAAACATAAATCATAATTATACATTTCAGATTACAAAATTCTCCATTCTGAACTTCTTGTGTGGACGCATCACAGAAAACAACCTGAAACACATTTAAAAACAATCAAAACTCTAACATCTAACATGAATACAACACACTCATTACTGCTTCAGAAAGCAACACATTCGAAACAAAAACACAACTCAAACCCACAATGTTTAATCTGCCTAATTAGAAAATAAGAAAATTGGTCACGTTGGTGAAAAGTTTGTCACCAAACAGCTGGTCAACATTTTTTAAGCTTCACTTCTGCCTCACAACACTACAACAGAAGTAAAGCTACATTTTCATATTCACAGACTTTAAAGATTTTTTATTTTTGAGTAAATTAAAGATGTGATTCCTTTCATAATTGATTTTTTTACCAATTATTTTCTTGATTAATAACAGTTATAACAGCCCAGAGTGATGTCATCAGGTCTTGTTTTGTCCAACACCCAAAAATATTTAAAGTTCTGTAAATACAGCAGTTTTTTACATGTGAGAAAGTTAAAAAATAAAATGTTTGGCTCCTTAAACAATTAATTAATCATTAAAATTGTCACTGATTAATTTGTCTGTCAGTCATTTTTAATTAATTAATTGACTGATTGTTACATTACTATCCATGCTGGTGTGAACATGTGAACAGTCTCTGTAATTTGGCTGTAATGTGTGTGTGTGTGTGGATCAGTGAAGGAGTCCAGTAATCCACACACAATCTCTAGTAATCTTCTAGTCTGTTATATTACCTTCATATCATATTACTAATCAGTTGCTTGGCTCCGCTCTGTATCCATCTGTTCATTTCATCCAGCCAGCACCGCCACATCCATCCATCTGTCCATCCATCCACTTACTGCACTGCACTGCTCTAATCCCATCAGACCTTCATATTCCCACATGGCCCCTGACTCCTGGCCCCTGACTCTTTAATTTGCAGGGATCAGAGAATTATGATTAAAATGAAGCTCGCTCACAGAGACATGTATGAACACACAGCCACAGACAGTGTGACTCATATCCAGCTCTGAGGGTTAATGACAGGTGTTGTGGTTGTTGACAGCGAGTGATGTGTCGATGAGGGAGTTTGATGATCGTTCTCTCATTCCAGCTACTCAGCTGAAGCCAGACGAAGGCACACCTGAACTCCCAGAAGGCCGAGTGAGGGTCCGCCTCCAGACAGATGGGTCGCTGCATGACGTCACAGAGTATGAAATTGAGAAGGTAGCTACTCCAGCAATGTCATGCTGCATGTCCATAAAGCCGGGAGTCTGTCACAAGACACAGATTAAAAGATGGTCAAGTGGTTGTTGGCTGAGTGTCAGCAATAAGACACATTTTTTGAATCATTGAATCAATATCAGATTTATGCAAGTTTTTTTCCGCCACTGATGAATGCAGAAAAAAAAGTGAAGTACTTTTACTTTTGTCTTTGCCGTTAAGTCCAACATTTTTCTTTAAAGCTCCTCCAGTGTAAAGGTCTCTGTTCATGTGTAGTGTGATTATAGATCAGCTCTAGCTTCTATATTAATACTGTGAAAGTATCAAAGCCTCAGTCCACAGAGAAATGCACACAGCCTGTATTCAGAAACTGAGCCTTAAAACCAGCCGTCAGGACTTCTGGAACTTTGTGATGTCACAACAAAGCAGTCACCAAGCCCCGCCCACCTGGACCCACCATCCAAACCTTGCAGGATTTGGTTTCTCTGAGTGTTTTTACCTGAAATCTGCTGCTATATTTTTATTGGATCACTCAGAAAACAGTCAGCCAATCAGGAGAGAGGCTCAGAGCCTCCTCTCTTCTGATTGGCTGACCGACCTCTTGTTACTAGAGCTCCAGAGAGAAGCCTGAGAGAGGAGATGTAAAACTACACTGAGATGATTTTTGGTTCTTAAAACCACAAATATATCTTCTTATGGATCAACACTTCAAAATAAAAGACAGAAGAAAACTAAAATATTGGACCTTTTAAAAGTTCCAAAAACAGTGGATCCTACATTTCCCATAATGCAACCAACAGCATCCTTTCATTAAACAATTCCTTGTAAATCCAACTCCACACACTCAGTTTGCTGCTGCATTTGCGTTAAAGACATTAGACAAATGTTTTCACACAGGTTTCCAATCACAAGTAAACTGACCCTTATGTGTAAAATACGAGGAATGGCCCTTTAACCTCTCCATGGACTCACAGCGCCTCTCCTCCTCCCTCCACAGTGTAACCCCTCGGAGCTGGAACTGTGTGAGGATCTGAGCGACCTGCAGAGTGTGAATGAATGTGGAGTTCTGCACACGCTGACCAGTCGAGCTAAAGCCAGCATGCCGCTCACACACGCAGGACCCAACCTGGTCAACTTCTGGCCTCCGGTACAGGCCCACAGCAAGGTGACAACAAACCGCGGCACTTTCATAGTCCATTATTAATCTGCTGATTAGTTTTTGGATTAATCAGTTAATTAATTTGTCTACAAAATGTCAGAAAATAGTGAAAAATGTCCATCAGCGTTTTCCAGAACCTGTAGTGACATGTAAGAATTTCTTATTAGGTCCAACCAAAAGTCAAAAACACAAGTATTCAGTTGAACTTTTTTAACTCAATTGATTATTTGAGTATCAAAACATCTGCCAAATAATTATCTATTTATCAACTAACTTTCATTCCAGACGCCAAAGTCCCGGCGAGGAGAGTCTATGTGGGACGCTCCCCCTGCTCTGGCAGCCCTGGTCAAACGGGTGTACGTGTCCATGGTCGGCACCAGGAGAGACCACAGCGTGTGTGCGGTGGGACGCAGCGGGACAGGGAAGACCACCGCCTGCCAAGCCTTCACACACACTCTCCTCAAACAAGCTGGTACAACCGGAGAGAACGTCAGCGGTGAGCGCAGCAGCCGGCGGGAGGACGACTCACGTCCAAACTCTGCAGGCGGTTTATTAATGTCCCTCTTTCTTCCACCAGTGGAGCGTGTGCAGGCCATGTTCACCATCCTGAAGTCTTTCGGCTGCGTCAGCTCCCAGCACAGCGACGCCTCATCTCGATTTGCCACCGTCTTCTCGTTGGACTTTAACCACGCCGGACAGGCTGCCGCCGGACACCTGCAGGCACGCAAAACACACACACACACACACACACACACATTTAACAGAGTCAAACATGTTTTCATACAAAGTTAATCACGTCTCTCTCCTCTCCTTCAGACCATGATGCTGGACAAATGGAGAGTGTGTCAGAAACCCCCTGGAGAGAGTAACTTCCTGGTCTTCTCACAGATGCTGGCCGGACTCAGCACAGAGATGAGGTAATCTCCAGAGGTGGAAGTAGTAGATTTAATCAGCTACTGCACTAAAGTCATATTTTAAGGTAGTTTATATAATTTACTCCACTGCATTTATCTGACAGGTATAGTTACTGCTTACTCAAGATATTACAGAAAAAACTACAGGAAGTACTTTTACTGTGATACTTTAACCACAGGAAGTTCTTTTAATGTGATACTTAAACTACAGGAAGTATTTTTACTGTGACACTGTAAGTACAGGAAGTACTTTTTGTGATACTGTAACTACAGGAAGAAATTTTACTGTAATACTTTGACTAAATGAAGTACTTTTACCGTAATACGTATATTTTACTGACACTATATTTTACTTCTGTAAATGTACTTATGGAAGGTTTTTGAATGCAGGATGTTTTCCTTGTGCATTAATGGAGTATTTTTATTTTGTTGTATTGATACTTTTACTTGCTCCATCACTGATAATCTAATAATTTGAAACCACTAATTGAATTCTGTTGTTGATTCTTCATTAGGACAGAACTGCAGCTGCACCAGCTCCCTGAAGCCAACTCGTTTGGCATTGTTCATCCCACCAAGGTACAGTGAGTGTAGCAGAAGTGTGTGTGTGTGTGTGTGTGTGTGTGTGTGTGTGTGTGTGTTAGCGTAGCTAGCATTACAGAATCAGATTCACAATCTGGTTTGTTGCCAAGTAGATTTTTCACATACGAGGAATTTGTTTTTGGTGTTTTTGTGTAAAACCATGAACATAGTAAGAAGGAAAAATATAAAGAAAGATAAAGCAAAGCAAGTACTGCAGGTCAGGTCATTTAAATATAAATAGAAAAATGAAATTTACAATAAAAATGTGAAGAAATAGTGACGTGCCGAGCAGCTGTGACCTCTGTCCTGCCTTGACAGATGTTTTGATGTTATTAAATCTTTGAAGACAGCGAGAGAAAGGCCATGTGCCTGATTATTATGCAGAATTAGAAAATAATAATTCCAGTCACAGGTCACAAGAAGCACAGAGGACTGAAGGTCACACGTTCTGACACGGGCCTTGAGAAACCGTGACTCTGCTGTAGTTGTATTCATGTGGAAAGAAAAGAGAGAACAGTGTGAAAACAGATGGAAAGCATTCAGTTCTGTTTATGCATTTGAAGCTGTCATCACTGTATTCTCAGGTTGGCAGAAGTGTTTCAAATCAGTGTGTCTCATGTAAATCTTTTTTACATTTCTGTGAAGAATCTCTGAGAACAAAGACGGTGAATCCTGCAGAGCGCACTGCCGTGACTTGTTACAGACCAACAAATGAGGTATTGAGGACGTGATGTCTTTATAATGTTCCAGTCACCACGGCGCTCATGTTAGGGTGAAGTACCGAGGGAGTAAAAATAGAAAAAGGGGGTTTTGAAGAGGCGAAATCACGCAGTGAAGAGACCCATCCTGAAGAGACTCAGGCTGTGACGGGAGATGAGATTGTGACTCAGCTGTTCTTCCGCCTTATTAAAGTGGCTGATTTTCACAGACAGAAGAGACAGACCCTCCCTCCCTCTGTCTGTGCTCAGGTTGAGGAGAAGCAGCGTGCGTCCGTTGCCTTCACCAAGCTGCTGACTGCCATGGAAACGCTGGGATTCTCAGCCGGCGAGCAGAAGGCGATATGGCACGTTCTGGCTGGTATTTACCATCTGGGAGCTGCCGGGGCCTGCAGAGGTAACACTGACTCATCATCATCATCATCATCATCACTCACACAGTGTTAGTAAGCCCTCTAGACACACACATACACTCGTCTGTGTTTCTGGATTTGTGAGGACATTAATTGACATATTAAATCAGACTTTGTCCATCACAACTAAACGAGTAAACCGAACCCTCACCATGAAACACACACAGAAATGTCCTCTCTACATAAACACACACACACACTATGATCCCAACAGCCAGAAAACTAAACAGAAAAACCTGCATCTCTTATTAACGACAAACGTTAATATCACACCACAAACAACTGTATTTCTATTAAAATTTAAACTTCGTATTAATATAATTTCAGTCTGATTTATTTGCATGAGTTGTTTTAATAACGATATTTTTACTCTGATAGCACATTATGAAATAAGCTGTGCTTCTCCTGCTGAGTTAGGTAATCTGCCTAAAAAGATAAAATGGATAAAATAAAGAATTCACTTTTCCATTATTGTTATTTTATCACATCATCATTATCAATATTGTTATTATAATTGACTGTTTTACTCTTTGTGAATCTTGAAGGTTTTTCTTGTTGACTGCACGATGTGTCCTTTAACTCCTCTGACAACCTGGTTTAAGTCTGATATTTCATTATATTTCATGTCAAAACTTGAGATTTAAACCAGGATTTAAATATTATATTTAAATCTAAATATGTGATATTTATTAACTAAATAAGCAACAAAGTTAACGTTCAGAAAAAAAAGGGGAAGCATCTATTTAGAATTTAATGCACGTTTTGTTTTGTTTTGTTTTGTTTTGCTATATTTGTCATTGCCATAAAGCATTCCCTAGCCTCTTACCCTGACCGTAACCATGGAGACTGAATGCCTAAATCCCCAACCCTAAAACCAAGTCTTAACCCTTAAGCATTCAAACTTTTAGGGGTTCACCATGGTCCATACACACACACACACACACACACACACACACACACACACACATACACAGAAGCGTGTGTGTGATTGATCCTGATTGGTGCAAAGAAATACACTACATCACCTTGTTTAATCTGGGCTCCGCCCTCTTCACACTCACACAAAGACACACTCACAGAAACCTCTCATGTGAAACCAAAACCTTCCCAGCATCAGCAGAAAATGATCTGTTTATGTTGGACTCTGCTGCCTGGAGAGCAAGATGCTGATGTTTAAATCCTTTCACTGCTGACACAAACAACTCGCTGCGAGGGCGTCACACCGAAAAGCATCAGCAGTTTAGTCACAACGTTAGACACAAATATAATCCACCGCACGAGGTGATTCTTTTGACTTTTTTCCAACCACTGGAGTGACACAGTTTTCCCCCCGAACCGGCCTTCACCGATGACTCTGTGCTCCCCCCTCCTTTGTGCAGTGGGCAGGAGGCAGTTTGTGAATTTCGACAGCGCCCAGGTGTCCAGCAGCGTGCTGGGCTGCGAGGGAGAGGAGCTGCACACCGCCGTGTTCAAACACCACCTCCGCCAGCTGCTGCAGAGAGCCACCGGAGGCAGCAGAGAGAGGAACCCTGCTGCCCAGTCAGAGGAGGGTGAGACACACATACACACACACACACACACACACACACACACTCACTAAAGGTGTTGCTGCTGGGAGGGAAAAGCAGGAATAACCAGGTAGGCCTGAGGTTGAGGGAATCCTTCAGAGACCAGAAGCGACTCAAGTCCACAGCCACACTGAGAAGCTGCGATCATCACATACCATGAAGCTCAGGTGTTGGATGTCTAAAGGTCTGTGTCCATGTGTTGATTGATTATAGATCAGGTCTAGCTTCTATATTAATACTGTGAAAGTATCAAAGCCTCAGTCCACAGAGAAATGCACACAGCCTGTATTCAGAAACTGAGCCTTAAAACCAGCCGTCAGGACTTCTGGAACTTTGTGATGTCACAACAAAGCAGTCACCAAGCCCCGCCCACCTGGACCCACCATCCAAACCTTGTAGGATTTGGTTTCTCTGAGTGTTTTTGTGATGTCTGCAGGTCCCAGGTTGACGGCTGCTCAGTGTGTCGATGGAATGGCTGCAGGACTCTATGAGGAACTCTTCGGCGCCATAGTGTCACTCATCAACAGGTAGACGGAGGCATCTCAGACTGTTTACACGCGTCAGATTCACACACATATATCACACATATATACACAGTATACATGTCTTGGCGGCAGGGCTCTGAGCGGTCAACAGCTGACGTTAGCCTCGGTGATGGTGGTGGACACGCCGGGCCTCAGGAACCCGAGACACTCGGCAGAGGAGCGAGCGGCCGGCTGGTCCGAGCTCTGCCACAACTACCTGCAGGAGAGGCTGCTGGAGCACTACCACACACACACCTTCAGACACACACTGGAGAGATACACACAGGTAACGACGCATGAAACCAGCTGATTTAAACTTTGAATATTTCTTATGTCGCCGTTGGAGCTTCAAACCATGAAAGGAAGGAACTGCTCACTTTAATAATTCAACACCACGGCTCCACACGTGTGTCGTCTGTTACAGGAGAAGGTCCCAGTGGAGTTCGAGTGTCCAGAGAGCAGCCCGGCTGAGGTGGTGTCCGCCATCGACCAGCCGCCTCCACAGGTACACAACGACACTCGCTACACAGAAAACACAACACACACACACACACACATCTGGGGAAGAGAATTACAGTCACGTGATCGTAGCAGGATTGTGAGATTCTTGACTTTACTCTACAAACAGTCAATGTTTATAATCTGTCATATCTTTCTTTATCCAGATCGAGGGTCGGTGGATCGAGGGGGTTTTTATAAAGAACTTAAAGACTGTAAAGCGCTTTGAGGCAGATTTGTGATTAGAGATGTTGGACTTTATAGATAAAACTGACTTGATGTAACTCTCAGATTTATTAAAGGGGCCTTTCACTTGTTTTATTTGGTAGATGAAGCTGATAAAA